CCCCAAAACCCCAAAACCCCTATGATCAATTTTATCATAGATAATAAAGAATAAGGTAATTTATATCAAATCTAAAATGAGATAGGTATTTTTCATCATAGTTTGAGACTTTCTAGTTTTTGGGTGATATCTTCAGCTTGGAATTCAGGCTCTTCATCATCATACTCCTCCTCTTCCTCGTCTTCCTCTTCTTCTTCCTCTTCGAAAAGGACTACCTTTTTACCCTCTTCTGAGTATTTGCCTACAAAATCGTGCTTTACTTTCTTGCCTAGAGTGTTTCCTCTGTATTCAACATGCTTTAAGTTTGCAAATTCCTTTAGTAGCATTTCAAGGACCTCTTTATTTATTGATCCAGAAGTGATCTCATTGAAGTTGCAGTAGAATTCTATCAGAGAAGATTTAACGGAAGGTGAATCGTGAAGTGCTCTAATGACTAGGTAAGCAGCTTCAGTTCCCATGTCAGAATCTGAAATATTCAATTTCTCTAGTCCTCTTGTTCTATAGATAAGCTCAGCTAGTTTATCAGCAGCTTGACCTTTGACCCAGTTGTCATGAAGGTAGACTTCTCTGAGAGTTTGAGCATTTTCTTTAAGAGCATCCAGAAGAGCTAGCATACCATCCTTTTTAATTCCATTCTGAGGTACTTCAATAACTTCTAAACTCTTCATTTCCTTGAACACTCCTGCTAGGGCTGTGATACCTTTGTTCTCAAGTCTATCTCTACCAGCTGAAAATTGAACCAGACGTAGGTCTTTGTTTTCTTTCAATGCATTTGCTATCATCTCACCACCTTCCTATACAAAACGTTTAATATTTACTCTTTAAAATTGGATTGTTGAAACTATTCTAAGACTATAAATGCCAATTACTATCGTTTCTTGAACATTGTATTTCAAATAATATACATTGACATCGTTTAGTCGATGATAATAGAAAGTGTTATTATGATAGTATTGTACATTTATTCTTAAAATAACAATTGAGAATCAAACTTACAGGTCCGAGTCCACAGTTTGTGACCTTGAGAACCTTGAGTGATGACATTTCTCTCAGTAGAAAGTCAAATGATTTGATACCTGCAGGCCCGAAAGCATTATTGCTTAAGTCCAAATACTCAATCTTTTTGTTCATTAGTGAGCGGACTAAAACTTCAAGTGACCCTGGGAGCTCATCAAGTTTTCTACCGACGAATAAGTCATTGAAATCAACTTTGGTCAAATTGGGAGTGTCTCTTTGAAGAACAGAGGCAATATAGTCACAAGCATCTCTTCCATAGGAGTTTCCGCTAAGCTTGATCTCTGAGAGGTTAGCGAAGTCTAATTCCTCAAGTTAATTTCCAATATGTGCTAAGAGCTGCTCTCTTGAGTCGTATCTAATGCTTTAAACTATTACAAGTATTAGGGAGGATGAATGAATTACATGAGATGGCATATGAGTTGGTTTATTATGATTCCATATTAAGATTGATAAGATGACTTAGAAGTTTGTGATCTTTTTGTAGTCAATAAATATAAATATTACTTAATATTGATATCACTTAATTTATAAGAGATATTGATCCTCGGGGTTTTGGGGTTTTGGGGTTTTGGGG